AACGAATTTTTCCGAAACTTTAGAACTATAAGCAATTCTTATATATAATAAATAAATGTTTTATGTATATTTTTATGAAAGAACGAAACGAACTTTTACATCAATCCAATATATAGAAAGATGACAAATTTCATACCAAATATCAAAGATATGCAGGAGATATCTTTTTTTTTCTTTCGAGATTGGCTGAAAAAAATATCCCGCGATTTTTCTGCAGTACACAAAAAATGCAGGTTTAAGTTTTAGATTCAAGTAAATAATTATTTCAATACTTCTGATCAAATTTTTACTTGAATTAAGTAAATTTTATTTGGATTAAGTAAATATCTTACTAACATTAATTAAATATTATATTACTCAAGTAAACATTTACTAAGGAATATTGTCAGGAATATTGGAGTAATTACTAGTTAATTTTAACTTAATGTTCTAATTAACTGATGATATTCTGTCAGTTACTGATGCGAACTGATCCATCATCGGTTAATTCAAACATTTATCAGTTACTGATGCAACTAATCAATACTTCTTTTCAAGGGAAAATCCAAGTTTTGAGAGTTTTCATGACGTTGTAGCAAATTTTTTCCTAAATTTCGTTAATGTCACACAAAAGCACCAAATTTTAGTTTTAATGTACATTTCGTATCGTCTCGGTATGATTTTTCGTTTCTAAGATATATAATATTATATTTAACTATGCCTTGAAAACGAAAAATCATATCAAAACGTCACGAAATGCATTTCAAAGCCAAAGGTCGATATTTTCGCGCGGCATTATCGAAATATAAAAAATCTGCCGATGCTGCATCATGAAAATCCTCAAAATCATGACCCGATGACCAAATTTGGACAACGGATTCGTGTTCAGCAGGCGAGAGCCATCCAAGGAACACCTATCCTCATTCCTGAAACCTTGTTGACCAGTGTTATTTACTTGAATCTAATATTTTTTTTCTGCGTGTCCCGCAACGGAAGAACAAGTCCGGCGATACACGCATGACTCGGTGCATTATCTAATTGCGCTTCTATTAATAGACTATCGCTCCGACCGCGCACCTACCGTCGGGAGAATTAATAGACGCGCGCACGAGTCCCGTATTTCATTAATTGCTTGCATTATTTTTAGGTGAACGCACCACCAGAGAGAGAGAGAGAGGGAGGGAGAGAGAGAGAGAGAGAGAATAGAAGTCTCCATCGCCAGTAGAAGTATATCTACGGTTTATTTACTTCTCTCGGAGGAGATAGCGGCGCGCGCCAGAACGGACGAATGTTTGCGCCGGATGCGGCCGGCTGTGCACTTCCCACTTGTCCGAATTGATAAGTGCTTCCAGCGAGCGAGATAGAGGATAACCCGTGTGGTGCGTGGGCTGATCGATTTTTACAGTAGATCCAGTAAAGGTCCAGTAATAAAGCGCGATAAAAAAAATATCGCGTGCCTCGTCTCGCGCTCAGAGAGAGAGAAAGAGAGAGAGAGAAGGTGTGTATATGTACGCGAGTACGATGAGTTCGCCGATTCCCTCATGTTTTCAACGCAACGTGAAGAAGCTCTTCTTCTTCTTTTCTCGCCTCCGATTCATTCAACGGTAATCACTAATCACGCTCCGTTGTAAACGCGTAATCAGAGAAAGGGAGACGCGTATGGGACTGCGTTCATCATAGGGAGTGCCATTCATTATCGGTACGACGCGTTTATCGTTTGATTACTCGGCAAGTAAAGTGAGAATGCGTCTCGTACGCGCGTATTGTGTTGCTGTTCGTTCTATGGAATACTGACTTTTCCGAGAGAACTGTTATAATAGTTCTAAGAAGAAATGTCACATGTGCGCGTCGGAGACTTTGCTTACTTTTTATGTGTGATGATAGAGGGGATTAAAATATCAGAAAGCTGTACATGCATTCCAAATTATTATCTGAACGAGAGGAGCAAAAATAGAAGAGAAGTCAAATTATCATTATCTGCAGTCTGTTGACCGGCGTAACTTGGAGACTATTTTTTTATAACAAAATATAAGCGAAAATATGTACATATACTGCTACATTAGCACTAAAACGCTTTTATATATTAATAAATTGTCCAATCACTTTCATTGTTGATAATTGCCCGGCATCTCCGAGGCGTATTTTTCATTAAGTATTTGGAAGTATTTGAAAGTATTTTCCATTAAGTATAACAGCATACTTTTTTTTTAAACAATGTTCTTCATATTTCACGAATCTGCCAAACTAATCGTATTTAGTGCTGAAGAGGGAAATTCGTCGAGAAAAAAATGTCCCAATTGCGATCAATATTTCCGTACGGCCCTTTTTTACCTTCTCATTTTTCGGTTGTGTACCTGAGAGTCTTGTTTACGTAAGCGAACCTTCCTTTTTTCCTACGGGTTTTCGGGAAAATTCTTAGAGGTTCTTTTATTATGCTTTGCCATTTCAAGCCATGAACATATAGACGACTTCGAATACTTTTACAGGATTTTTTTTCAATTTTGCTTGTTTTCGCAAAAATATTCATCGTAAATTCTTGGATGGATCATTTCGAAACAAATACATCGCAGGACCCCCTCCCCCTCCTCTATTTACGCGTTGCAGACGAAATTTCAATTATTGTATAGCTTTTGTATTTTAGGCGCTATGCAATTAGTTTGACAGATATAAGTTGACGATCAGAAAGAAGTTTCGCTGGTCACACTCTTGTTAGACTGGAAATTACAACTTGCTTCAATAAAAGATACTTTAGATTTAACTTAAGGAGCGCTGTTCTTGCTACAAGTCTTTCCAAATTTGATATTTAAATAGAGAACGTATCAATTTTTTAATTCTCTAGAGAACATATCAATTTTTTAATTGTACCTTTGCATGTGGATCTGTTTATCTATTAATCTATCTAAGGATCTATCAGAAACTTGAAGAGCGTATAACTTATTTTAACACGTTGAGTGCCACGTGGGCCATCGGCGGCCCATGTTGGACTTTCCGTTCAGGCTGCATAACGCGCATTTTACGTTACTTCCCCCCTAATAATAATTTTTTTTACACGCATAATCTCATAAATATTATAAAATATATCCCACAAAGACATTTAATAAAAATATATAATAAATACGGTAACCGTGGATAAGGCGGCCGACGTGAAATTGGCGGCGGCGGCACTCAACGTGTTAAGGATGAGAACAGCGAAGGGGAAAGGGTCTGGGAGGAGAATTGCCGAAGAGTAATTCGGCCACCTAACGTGCTTATGTCACGACGAGCCGTACCTATTGTTAAAAGCAGCAGAGCGGCCGACAGCGTCAGTCTCATGATGACTCCAGATGACGAGGTGATGGTCGAGGAAAAACAAGAGAATCCCGCGACGAGAGAGAAAGAGAGAGAGAGAGAAAGAAAGAGAATATCGTGGACGGCGATAATCCGTGGATAAACGTCAGCGAGCGAGGAGCTGAAGGGTGAGAGATCGTCGACCGCTCGGCCAGCGGTCTACTGCTGCTTTCGTCGCCCGAGTGTCAAAGGTCGACCGGCCGGCACAAGGGATATACCGGGGTCAGCGCGGTCTCTCGTCGGGGCCGCGCTGCAACCTGAGTGGTCCGAGCAGTCCGAGTGTCGTCGTTTCAGGGACGATGCCGAGAAAGAGCCGGAGGCCGGAACGCCGGACGGTGAATCAACCGTACCCGCCGATTCGTAGCGGCTGACTGACCGGCACCGATTGGGCGCGATCGCGTGGAAGTCGCCCTCCGCGAGACAGCGCGTGGGGTGCAGCTCGGCGGCCGTCTCGACTCGCTCTCGATGCGGCCCCCGAGAGGGACTTTACACGAAGGCGAAGCCTTACGATTCTTTTTCAGGCGCGCGCAGCTCGCATTTCGAGTTATCAGAACGTGAGCTCTGAACGGGCATGTCAGAAGGAGACCGTTAGACTTCGGTCATTTTGTTAAAGTCGTTTTATCTCGCATCCCGCGCGCCAGTAAAAATATCCCGGCCGCGCGTGAGTTAAAGAAGCGTCGCGTTATGCACGCCCTCGGATCCGACGTCGAGCTGCACGCGTCCTTGGGCACACCGTGGGGCTTCGTTAATTATCTCTCTGAATAAGCCATATGGTCGGCAGACCCCGGTGCGAGTTTCAGGAATTTCTTACGGTTTTAGGGATTCCCGGCACGTCGATCTCGTTCCCGTTGGTCGCACGGATCGCGAGGTAAAGCGGCGTGTATGGATTTTTTTCACCGAGTTAATCGACTTCGGCTCAATTGGCTTGTTGAAACAGCGGAAGAGAAATTGTTAGTTGAGAGTTCTCCAGCGCATTCATCACGGCAATTTTCATAAACAACCTTAGCTCATTGAATTATCCCCGATAATATCGGGACGTTCTGAGACGTCTTTTAGACAACAACCGCCCGGTTCCACCGTCGCGGTTTAAATCTAATCGATGATTAATTCAACGGAATTCGCCAATTAGCTGAACTGATCGATGCGATTGGTCAGTTCCGTCGGGTTAATTGTTGATTACATTCAAACCATGATGGTAGGCATAAGACGTCTTTGAAATATATTATATTGTTTGTGATACTTCTCGTGGCGAATGTAATATTACGAAACGTGATATAAACACAAAGGAAGAGATAAAGATTTCACGTGTGTGATCATTTCTATTTTCAAACTGCGTGTACACACACACACGTCGTATTGGTTTTTTTTTTAATATATTGAATGATTAGCACACCGATCGAGCGGGTCTTAAAATAACGGATTTAACGGCGGTATCGCATCGTTGTAACGTGCTATCGCTTTACAGAATTCGATAACATTTGACACTAACGACTCCAAGTCCGGAAATCAAGTATCACGCATGTACACGCATACGTGTGTATGTGTGCGATGTAAACGAACCTGCGTCACTCGTCGCTCTGAGCATAAAGAAAGGCGGTGAAATTTTTACGGGCTCAAAATCGTCGTGTGTCAAGAGTTCGCTGTGCGTGATAATCGAGAGCGTGGGTGAATGCGCGCGACTGCAAGACGCTAAGGAGACAAAGGAGAAATTACGCTCGCGCGTAACGTACATTAATTAAAATAATAATTTATTAAGGCGAGTTCGTTCTTTCGGACGGATTACATGAATCTTAAGGCATTTTCCTTCATCTACTACAACTAGATTATCTATAATAGTAATTGCGTACTATTAGTAAATACTTTACAGCCTTAGAACGTGAGACATCGAATCGATAAGGAAGCATTGACGTTATCTTAACGTAAATATATCAAATACTTGGTGTTTAATTTCTTACTCCTCTCTTTCTCTCGTTTTCTTTTTACTTTCGCGCGCTATTTAAAAGGCTTAACTCTCTAATTGTCGTTCGTGTACGTAACAACCGTCTGGAGTAACTCATATTCTGGAAGAAAGACATTTTAAGAAAAATCAGAGATCAGTCGGATTTCGTTTCCCGTTTTAACGAGTTCGCTTATAAGTACTGTTAGTACCTTACATGAATGTTTGATCGTGTTGTTCGTGGATCATCGTCGCTCGTCGGGACTGAACCAGAGACAATCCGGGCTGTCTATTGTACAATTCTCTAACCAGACTGTCCTTCTCCTGCTCAAGCAGCGCTATTCGTTGGCTCTTTTTGCTAACTTCCTGCTCCGCCGGTTGCATCGAGTGAGATCAGATTAATTGCCCCGAGGACTCTTCTATTGTCTATCTCGATACTTTCACACGTTACCTCGGTTAATCTATGATTCTGTTGCTTAAGCCTCGACAGCATATCCTGTTGCAGCTGAGCCGAGGTCGGGGTGCTCAGGAAAGCGAGATTCATGTGAAGAGGAAGTCCCCCGCGTTCCCAGCTGCTTATCAGGGCGGCCAGATGTCGGTTTACTTCCAGGACTCGCGCGCGTTGTAATTCCAAGCGCTCCTGCTGCGCTTCTGTCCATTGCTCCTGCGAGAAACAGACGGAACCACGAATAGAGGTCGGTACGCGGATGAAGTTTCACGAAACGCGAAGAGTAGAAAATCCGCGCTCTGGTACGCGTTCGCTTAGAAAACTTCTCATTCTTGTTTTCACCACGTGCTAAGCACGACGGTGGGGACAGGCGTTAGTCGCGAGATAAACAAAACGCGAGTAACGTCTTCATATTCTTCGAAAAACAAACGATATTTCGCGTACCACGTGGGAGCCCATTCGTCCGAGATGTTTGATCTTCTCTTGCGTAGCGGAGATCTGCTTCAAGTACCATTCCCTAGCCTTATCGACGGCAGCTAGACCTTGAAGCAGCACATCTTTCTCCTGCTCGATCTGCTTCATCCTTTTCATCTGAAAACATCAGATATCACCGAGATATTTCCTCTCGAAGCATCAACGATACAGCCTTCCCAACTGTGCGTAATTTTTACATTATCGGAATCGAAAATAACACGAAAAGCTATCGGAGGCATTGATCGGCGGTTAATACTCCAGTTAGGTTCATGCAGACCCAGAACCAATCACCGTATGTGTTAGCTGGGAGTCCTAGAGGAGAACATCTTTACCATATTGTAATCAATACCGTTCTGCAACGTATGCCGCCTGGGTTCTCTGCGACGATTCGACGGTTTCTTGGGCTGGAGCTGATTGCTCTGCATATCGACCGCTTTACCGTCACCCAGAGCTCTGGCCGGTCTCAGCAGGGTCCTGCCGTCCGGTCTGTAGTTAACAGCCTGCAGCTGACGTTTCTCCATCGCCTTCTCGTCGCTCATCATCAGGCCCATCTGCCAGTTTTGCAGGGCCGTCCTGATCTCGGACTTGTCGAAGTTCCGCTCCGCACCGAGCGTTCTACCCTCCAAGGTGGCGCCGGTCCGCGGCGGCTTCGGCGGCCCGTACGCCTTGTTGATCTTTGGCTCGCCGATGTTCCTCCCGTCCATCAGCTCGAGCTGCTGCTGTGCGTTCGCGTCCTTGCGGTTGGCCAGCAACTGCGGCATGCTGAGAGTGCGTTGCTGAGATATGGCATTGTTCGGCCTTATGGCGGCCGTATTCGGCGAGGTCCACGCCGCTTTGCCCTGACCGTCCGGGATGAGTATCGGCGCGGATGGCGGCCTGTTAGGCTGGCCGTCGTGCTTCTTGGAGTCGGCCTCCGCCTGGATCTGCAGCAGACAGATCTTCAGACCCGCGCAGAATCTCTCGAACGAGAGCATACCGTTCGGCGGGGTGACCTTCTTCAGGCTGTCCAGCACACCCTTCGGCAGGCCCTGCGTGCCGTCGTCCTGCCAGCGACCCTCGATGTCGGCGAACTTGACGTAGCCGGTGCTCTGGTCGTCCATTATGTCGAACAGGGTGCGCATCGCGTTGACGAAGTGCTTCGGCAGCCCGTCCATCGTCGAGCCTGCTATTTGCGCCATGTTCACGGAGCTGCCGACGTTTACAGGCCCTACGACGACGGGGTGTCCGCTATGCGGAGCATTCGTTACCCGCAGTCCGGCAGGTACATCATTCACCGCGCTCGGTGATCAGGATCGTCCGGCCGATGGGTGCATTCTCTGCAGTGCGCGCGCTCGAAATCGGTTTCTCAGCCTCAGCTTCCTCGGGCGGGCATACTTCCGCGCGTTAGACGACGAGGGGTTGTCCGCGACACCTGGGACTCTCCGAGCGCGACGCACGCATCGTTCTATTGTACGATTTCTCGCCGTTCACGTCGTCGCTCACACGAATTGTTTTCCTCGGGGATTAACCTCACCTCTCACGCGGCCATATGCAATCACGCACGGACGCGAATGCTTCACGAAGAGGGAGGCCGAAGAGCCACGCCAGTCTGTTCGGTTTGATTCGTCGTTGCGTCCTTGCGAGTGGCGTCGTGGTTGATTCGTACTACTAGAAATTACGGTTTATTCGACCCGGGCAGTCGATAGTGTTGTTTGAAAGTCAAATAGTTCACTGATATGCCGTTGAGTCGTACTAGTCGAACAAATAAAACGGTATTCTTTTATGTACCGGCTATTTGATTTTTCTACTTCTTCCAATTTTTTATTTCAAAATATTAGCTCCGTCCGACTTGTTGTTGAGTTGCACCGCGACCACGATTCTTCGGTCGCTTTCGGGGAACGCGTTATAAAGGTGCTTTTTCATGGTAGCGTCGGAGCCAATCAGCAAACAATGGACTGCCCTTGGGTCCATTTTCTATTGCTGCACTGGTTGCACTAGTTCTCTTTCTCCCTTTCCTCTCGAGAGGAGCGGCTAAAAAGAACAGACCACATTTGTGCAATCCACCGCGTCCTCGATGGAGAACGGAGATAAATGGAAATGGTTCATTTGAAAAATGAATGTGCGCTTGATCTGACCTTCAGTTGCCGAGTAAAATGATAAATATCGCTAATATAGAATCTGTAGACATATAAATCCATATAAATGTATGCTAGAACATTGATTATGCGAGCCGCGAGAGGTTAGTTCAGATAAGGACTGATAACCAGTAAAGCCTAGCAGGTGTTGCTTTCAAATTTCACGGTTGTTTATAAAAAAGGATGTTAAAAAAAAAGGTCTATTTTCGGCCCACTTGTTTTTGATCCTTTTTATACCGTTATTAGATTGTCAACTATGAAATGTCCGATTACCCACGAAGTTTAAGAGCCGACATCTCTGACATTTCACACCTTGACAGTTCTTGGTTTTTTTTTCCTTTTTCTATCGCGAAGGTACATCCTCACTCTTTCAGACGCACGGTTTTGGTTTGTGATTGTCTTACGAATTGTCCTTTTCAGGTCAATTTTTGCGAAACCTGAGTTCAAAGTTCACGCTATTTTCGAACATGAGTCTCATCGTGGAGCCGATGCAGCGCGGACAGCCCGGAATATCAAGGACGTTTGGCGAGGATACGGCTGATGAATGCACAGTCGACGTCCCGTTCGTCGTGCGCGGAGACTTCAAGCCAGCTCGACTCCGACACGAGTTATCCGCTGGACGTGAGTCTCTCTGACTTTCACTCATATTAGTTTTATATTTTATCGCTTCTCTCGATCAGTCTCAATGAGCTGCTCGGAAATGCTATCAGTACAACGAAGAGGAATACGAATACCGCGAGCCGGTGCAACTTCCTTTAGCACCGTCCTACAAGAAGAAGTGGTGACAGGAACTTCCACATGGCCGACGTTAACGCGACGATCGAGAACGAGAAATCTCTGCCTCCAAGAGGGAAGTTTCGCAGAAGCGTCAAGTTGAGATAAGCGCAGAGGCAATAGCAGTGCAACAGGATCGGGATGACGATGTCTCCCTCGAAGAAGCGCTCATGGATTCATTACAGGTACACGTTTATATTACGGTCGCATTAAATTCATACGTACACTGACGGAAACGAAGATGATAACTGAGTTTTTCCACGTAAATGTTGTTCCGTAATTGCTGCGTGTTACTTTATTCGCGAAATCAACAATGTAAGAAGAGGGATTTAAAAGAAGGGCACGCAACTTCTGTAAACAATTGTAAAATATTTGAAATGAATGCACAAAAATGTGTTATACTGAAATCCCTCTCAGGCGAATCTCGGCACCCGATATGCGCTACATCCATTTCTCCAGAGACCGAGCGTTTGCGTATCGAGGAGAAACCTCGGAGATTCTTATTTGCAAATAAATCTATTTTTCCGTCGGAACTTGCATCGACAATAGACTTAATTTTCCAGGAGTTCGTTGGAAAGAATTGCGATATGGGTCAGTCGCCAATGAGGTCCGATTCATTTAGCTTTGCATTCATCATTTAATCACGATGCATCTACCACATAACACTTTGCTTCTACATTTGGCGCAAACGAGACCAAAGCGGAATAATAATTCGCTAAATACTATATTAGTACTGCGTCTTGACAGGGGCCGGATAGCTCATAACAGCGGGAAGGGGGGAAGGGGAGGGTGATGCCGCTTAATTTTTCGTCGCAACTGCATCCTCATCGTTGCGATCGATACCCTCTTCCTGAGAACGCTCCTCCGCGTTGGGACTTTCATCGCTGTCCGAAGTCGAGCTTTCCTGCGGCATTTCGATCCCCTGAGTCAGCAGGCTCGTTATTCTCTCGACGTCCACGGTGTCGTCCTGCTCATGGATCTTCCTCAGGGCGTTCGACACTATGCAAAGATCGCCCCGCAGCTCGCTGACCACCGCCGTGATCTTCTGCGCGTCCGTCAGCACCTCCACCGACTGGGTATACGGATTGTAACGTATCCCGAAAGGACGTTGAATCTGATTAGCGAATGCCCTGGCGAATAATGTGGATGCGTTAATGCTTCGAGTGACGAATATTTCTTGCTTACCAGGCGTATTTTTGGTGATTTATAACTTTCTTACTTCATGCGTTAAATGTCAAAGAGTAACGAAGCTTGCTATCCTTTGAATTCCGAGGAGAATCCTGTTGGAAATTTCCAGGCGGATTCCCATGGGAATCCACAGGAACTCATGTGAATCCGCATAGGATAATAAAAATCTATCGTAGGAATCCACGCGGATTGTTACCTGGACCTTTTTGCTGCACCATTTACAGGAGCAACCACGGGGGATTCAATATGGACTTCCTGTATATATTCCCACCCTTGTTTTTTCAACTGTTGAAATCACGTGGATTCCTGTATGAATTTTCACGCACTGTGTGAATTCCCACATGGATTCGCATAAATTCCCCTGAATTCCCCGTGGGAATCCACTTGGAGAATTTTCAACAGGGGTGACCCTTTTGCGGGACACACGTGTATCGTCAAACGTTTAAACGATGATTACCGCATTTTCTCCTTCGCTTCCTCTATGCTGTCCGTGTAATAATACGCATTTTGAAACGCGGTGATGATACATTCCTGTTTGCACGTGATGTCCGGCTCGAATCTCATCGTTTTTTCGGCAGCGGTGACCGCGTGCCTCAATTCCGCCACCGATGATAATAAACCGGCGCCATAAACGCGAAGCATACCGTCTTGCTTGCACAGCCCGAATTCCACGGTGAAGAAGTAGAGCTGAGATAAGATAGAAGCGAATAGTAGAAGAGAAAAACGAGACAGACGTGTGCGTGTGCGCGTGTGTGTGGTGTGCGGGATGAGAAAGGATAACAACGATTTAGTTTCATCAGAAACCAGAAGATTCGAGGATCACGCGGGCAGCGGTAAATCAAAGGTGAGGAAATTACATTTACGCAAGGACAATTTCACACTTTCCACGGAGACTTACGGTCGCCAGTTTGTCTATGTCGTCGTCCGATGCACCGAGCGAAGCAAGCCCGAGTTCCTGCGAGAATTGCGCGAAGTTCGGATTCGCGAGCAGCGGCATGTGGCCCAGCAATTCATGGCAGCAATCCCTGGTACATATGTGATACGATAACAATAAATTGCGAAGAGGATCACCCTCCGCATTTTGCTCCCAAGCTCTGCCGTGGTTGCCGAATGCGCGGGCTACGTGATGAAATCGTACGCAGAACAAAAATCAGTATCGATTCAAGACTCATATTCTCATATACAAGCGAGAATATATAACACACGACGATAATAAATAAATGTTGCCCTTATATAAAGAAATTCTATATGATTCCGGTAAAAATATATCCACTTTTACATTTCGTTGTATTTGCTTATTATTCTAATTTATATATTCATATCATTCAAGAATAATTTTCGTGAACTGAAAAGAACAAATATCATTCTGTCTAATATTTTTCCCTCCCAATTCTTCAATGTTATTCTTGAATAACAAGAATATAATATAAATGAAACTATATAGGATTTCTTCATGTATATAAGAGCAAATTTTGTCTTCATATAAGGTTTTACATTTTTGCTTACACACGAGAGAATATTAGTCTCAAATTAATATTAATTTTTTCGCCGTGCAGCTGGGGAGTTTTTCTTATATCGTCGATGAGATTTTATCTCCCAATGATTGAACTCTTCCGAAGATTGAGAAATTGCTTGGGTGCTTCTTAAAAAGAACGCGCTGCGGACTCACGGTTCCGGGGTGTAAAACGGATCGGACGAATGCCGGATGTACTGGGTGCAGTGGAACACCCGAAAAGCGAGGCCGGCGAGGAAATCCCGCGGTGAGAGGTAACCTGCGACCGGGCGAAGCTGAAATCCCGTTGTTCCTGCGGACGTCGATTTTCGTTAGATACATCGTTATTATTCCCGCGAAACAGCGATTCACGCATCGCGGTCTCTCTCGTCTGCTACTCACGTTTGAGGAAGGCGTTCACGTCCTGCAGTTGAGGTATATTGTCCTCTCTGAAAGGCAGGTGTCAAAAGGTATTCCAATATGTATGTGACGGATCGACGCTTCGTCTTGTTAAAATTACATCCGTGGGAATATGTAAGGCGACGTTCAAGTACAATGTATCTCAATATTTGCCGAGCAATGTTTCACTTATTTTCGGAAACAATTTTAACTTGTGTGTATATTTGCGAAGCGGCGTCAATTACTACCTATTTATTTCCCGGTAATTCTCTAATTATATTTGGATCAAGTTGTTGTATACATTAAAATTATTATGCAAAATTATTATTATTATATTTAATTATATCCGAATAGAAAATATCTGTGATACCTATATCCGCAATATTTGACCAGCTTCGGCCAGTTTTCCAAGTATTCCTTGCACGCGTACTTTTGATAGAGCTCGTGCAACTCGCGGAAGACGGTTCCCCTGATACGAAGAAAGACGAATATATATCTTAAAGCAACCAAGAGCCGTCGTGTCGAGCGTATAAAATCCTCCAGTTTCTCGTGCGTATATTTCATCGTTATATTTTTACACGTTTGTCTCATTTCACGCATATTTTCAGCGATGCTTATCGATTGACGTTAAAGACCATGCCGATCACTGTCATCCGTGATCGTTTTGGTTTGCTCGATTTCGGCTGGCAAGCTTCTGTCCTGATTAAGTTTGTTCAAGTTGCACGTTTGCTTTGTGCATCGTTATATTCGACTCGGAGAGATTGCATTAGCCGAGTCGCTTCTCGATCTCTTGCCTCGCGTCGCGAGAGTAAATCGAATTGACGCAATTAAGGGTGCATTCAACGTGTGCCAATCTTATTTCGATGTATTACAAAGACAGCCGTACGGAATGAGGAAGGCCGCGCAGGAGGAAGGGAGAGATAGATAGATAGATAGATAGAGAGAGAGAGAGAGAGAGAGAAAAAGAGAAAGAAACTTCTCCAAATTGGCGAGAGGTGAGAGCTCACAGCGAGAAGATATCGAGCGAGCGTATAACTTAAGTATCGAGAAGTGGAAACGTTTTCTTCCATCGGGCGTTGATTGCCTTCGTGTACGCGAAAACACGTCCGTAGTTTGCTTCGTAGTTTGACGGAGGCGAAGTTGCGCCCCCGAGTCTCGAACTGAAGCGTTAATTGATTCACAGCTCGCGACACGTCGCGATATTTCATTTCCAATTACCGCAGCGATATTTCGTTTTCGCAATTAATATCGCAAAGATCTCCCGTGGCGTTCCTCTGCTCGTTACGATAATTCCTCACGATAACTGTGAAGTTTCAACGACGGGCTAGCCAAGTTATAGCCCCTTAGTGTGAGCCGTTTCCGAGTATAAAATTAATAATTCGTCGGAAAATCGACCATTTTTCCGAGAAACTTATTAAATTATTATTATTATTATTATTATTAAACGAGTAGGTTTAAAAGGATAGATTTAAGTACGATAAAATAAGATATGTTGTATCTACACGGTGGAATGTTGCGTTACAAACGGTCCACTGAAATCTCTGTGTTACTTTAACAAGATGAATATGTTGAAAAATAATAAAAATGTTAAAATGAAAAATATGTTAATAAGGCGAGTATGTTAATCTAATATTTGTGTACGTTTTGTTTTTCAACATATTCCCCATGTTAGAGTAAACACAAAAATTTGGGCGGGCCATTTGTAACAAAGAATATTTTACCGTGTGCCGTAAACAGACAAACTCGTTCCAGTTTTTCCCGACGAGCAGAGGAAGATGCAGGGACTTTGTTATATTCAACAAGTATTTCACGAACGTAATGACGTATTGTGTTACTTCAAGGGTACGTACCAGGTTCTGATTTCTTCCGACGTGTACTGCACTCTCGGGATCGGCTGACCGCTGAAACAGCCGCGATTGTTTTGCGATTAAAAACGTCGCACGGAGAAAACAAATTTTGCTAGAACAGCAAATATTTTGTCTACTGTATTGTCAATATAGTGACGGCAAAAAAAATTTCTTTGCACAGCAGAAAAATCCGTTAAGAGTATTAATTGCTATTTGTTGAATGTACGGACAGCGAAATAATTTGGTTACGCCAGCTAAATTTAATTACTGTAATAACGACGTTTCGTTACACCAGCAAGATTATTTCTTCCGTCTGACAGATCTTTTCGCTGTCGCAATATTGACACAACAATTTGCTGTTTCCAACAAAATTTGTTTTCTCCGGTGCGGCTCGCGGTAAACGACGATGCTACTTACTGCCTGTAATTATAGGCGATGTCGGCGAACTCCTCGCGACGTTTGCGATACACCGGATCCTTGAAGCCCTGAAATAACCGAGCGGCCGCGAGGTTAAAGCGAGAACGCCAACGGAAACGACAATGAAAGGTCGATAATAAGCATGCACGAAATCTTCGCGGAGAACGTACGGGATGATCCGCGTCCAGGTCCGAACCGTACATGAGAACCTTCTGCGCTCTATCGAGGTCCGATATTTTCCGCGGGAACCAGGGCATATCTACTTCGCTGAAATCTATAAAATTGAAATTCCGTCGTACCCTCGCTCTTACCACACGATAAGATATTCCATTAGCGAGAGATTTCTCCGGGGACGAAACAATGAAATGCGCACGATAAAGAAGGGATTCGCTCGCGATATTGTAAAAAGAATTCTATCAACAATGAATGCCGACACTGCGCAAACGATCACGATTGCCGATTGGCATTTGACGAATTCATTATCCAATTATTCAGATGGTAAACGCATTTAAGGTTCTTCCTCATTTCGTAAAAATATAGTCAATTTCAGATGTAAATAGACGAAAGTAGACGATCAAGAAGCGCGATCGCGGGGGATAAAGCTAAAAGCTTCTTAAATTGTGACTCATGTAACAAATCAATTGAACACTCAATTTCCTTCTTCCGAGATCGTGGCATATCGGTGAAATTTTTTTCACACAACGATATTTTTATTTCGTGCGGACACACTTAATATTATATACGCTGCCGTATAGAGACAAAATTCATATATAAATTACATATGATCATGTATAATTATATATAATTTTATATGATTATATATAATCCTTTCTTCCCAGGAAAGATGTGCTTCCGATTGGAATTCATCCCGAACAGTTCCGTAATACCTGCCCAGGGCACCTATTATGGAACTTTTCGTTATTCCCTAGGTTTTCTCTTGTATTTTACAGGAATAATTGAACGATTCCGAACAGTTCCATAATAGGTGCTCAGATCAGGGTATTCCGTTTTAGGCAAGTTTCAAGTAATGTCTATTCTATGTCAAGTGATGTCTATGTCTGAGAAAAATCATATATGGAATTTGCCCATATATGATTAAATATAATCATATACGTCCACAGCGAGAAAATACTGTTGTTTACAGATCACGTGCAAACACAATCGAAATAAATGCTTCCGGCTGCTTGTACCTCTGACAGCACATGATATCGACATTTAATTAAATGATGTAACATATTTCCTTTTCGTATAGACATATGTGATCATATATGTAACTATATATATGAGCAAAATTCACATATAATTTTATATAATCATATATAATCATATATAATCATTTTTTCCCGATAGGTTCATCTCCAGATGTTTTGTAGCCAATGAAGTGAGTCGTACAGCATCTGAAGATGAATGAGACGATCTTAAATGTAAGATCCGTCTATGAATGCCGTTCTAAGTCGTTTATGCGAGCGGACGTTGCACTGACAATAGCACTCGGGTGTCGGATTTAACCGTGTTTCGTCATGTGATGAAGAGTTTATTCTACCGATATCCGTTGCAACGCACGTGTAAGTACAAACTCACCGAAGCTTGTCGCGGCTGAAAGGGAAGGCGCGCGCGGTATACTTCCAATATGCTCGTAATGGGCGAGGTTGATCGCTGCCACTTCGCGGCTCAACATCTTCATCAGCTGCTCCATCCTCTTCGAGTCGCACTCCACGTCCACGAGGATCTCGTACTCGGAGCCGCGCCGCAGAGATTTCCTCGACTCGATGTGCACGACGTTTACACCTAAATCCTTCGCGCGACAAAGAATGTTTCCTCTCGATATCTTTCATCTCGGTGTGTTTATCGAGATATTTTTATTCGTAGACATTAAATTTCTACGTCGTTCGGGGCGCAATTTAACGGTAAATTTGGTAACTAAGTTGGAATCAATGTTTCCGTGACTCGAAGAGATTCTTAAGATATCGAAGCGCCAACACTCCACCTATGCAGATCGAATTGTCGGATCAAATTCTTCCTTCGATTTTTCTTAATTTTTGATTAATTAGTAGTTTGATACTTAGTCTTTGCGACGTTGTTTTTCTAGTAATCTGAGGTGGAACGATAGAAAAATGGCGTATTTTGAAAATGCACGGTGGTTATCGAATACATCGCAGGCGTATCGAAAACGCGGGATACACGGTATACCTGAAATACTTGGAGCGCTCGTGCCAAGCCGCCAACTTGGTTCTTCAGGGAAAATATCACAGAATTCTTGTTGTCGCTGGCCGAGTTATTTTCATCCACGGGAATCTGAATATATACGGAAGGATATACCTATTATTAAAATCGTCCCGGATCTCCCGTTTGCCATCGCGTGAATCTGATTTTAGGAACGCTTTTACTTTCGCGAGAAAAATTAGACGGTCGGATATTCGATCTAGGGAGAATCATGACGCATAAGTAAATAACATGCGTAACGTGTTATATCAAACCGAGTGGCTCGGAAAAAACAAATGAACGGAGTTGTTTATTATGAACATAATCGTCGACGGGTTCAGACTTTCCCGTTCATGCAGTGTCAATTGACACTGCGTCAATCTTACTGCGTGCCAATTTATTCTTCAATTTATTCTTCAATTTATTCTTCAATTTATTCTGAAAACGGATCGTTTTGATCCCTCCTATTTATAAGCTGCTGAGAAGAGGTTAAATATTATAAAAAAAATTAAAGATAATCTTTAAATTACGTTTAAAGCGTGCGACTTTTCTTCTGCCGGATATACGACGCGTGTCACGTTAATTGAAATCATTCAGTCGGTGATCGACGATCTCATCCTGGTGACGGGATGAAATTTGCATGACGGAATATTTAACGAAAGATTTAACAAAATATTTGACAAATCAATTTGTTTGTCTTGCTGGCCCAAAATATATAGTAACGTACATCGCGCGATTTATGCAGCGGACTTCCTTCCTTGATAGCCCAGCTCTCGCCTCTTCTGTACAGCCACACCCCGAGAAGACCCTTTCCTGATCCACTCATGCTGACTTTTACGAATTTGCAGGACAGCCAGGGGATCCTTCCGTCGGCGATAGCAATTGTCTCGCTTACCGATGGAATTTATTTTTACTTTATTTATCCTTTTTTAACGTATCTCGCGCGACCGCCGATCTCGTCGACTCGCCGTCTTTAAGGACACGCGCAACAGTGTGCCGGTACCATCCCTAACGGGTCCTCTTAAAACCTCGGTCTCCCCCGTTTCGCGCTCGACCTTCTCAATGACGATCTTACCGTGATTGGGCGGCGCATGGCGGCACCAGCGATTCTCATTGGTCGGTGGAAACTTTTCATGGGGTTGAAGACGAGTGTTGGTTCATCCCGTTCAGCGTGCCGGTCCCTGAATGTATTCCTTGTGACGTCACCGGAGCCCACGGGGTGTGTGATGCGAAGAGGCGGCGGTAACGAAGAGCACGCGCAAGAATTGCAAGATCCTCAATAAACGAGACGCGCGACCGTTTATCGTCCCGTCGTTGCTTTTGCAGTGATTTTTCTTCCGTTCGAACGATAAAACGGAGAGGGTTTTCTCTCCTCTCGCGCGATAATTTGGAAAATAATCTAAACTCGTCGTAAATGTTGCGCAATTGTCGTTGCATTGATAATATATGTTACGGGGTTATTGATATACAAATAAAATTTGTATAAAATCATTACGCACACCGAAAAAAAGTTTCTCTGGATTTAATATATATGTGTTTGCTCGACTTGGGTTTGTTTAATATAAACAACATAATTTAATATCTAATATCATTTTATTTGAATGAAAACGTTGTTGCTTCATTAGAGGAAATAATGTTTAGTTTTTAATAAGAAAAAATTTATCTCACTGTATATTAAAGATTGTTATACTCAGATAAAGAAGTTCCTTAATGTTTTTTTTTGTTTAGCATAGTGTTACTTCTTTCAAATAATTCATTACTTGTAATAACAACTGTAATGTTTAAATCAAAATATAAAAGAAACACGTTATATGTCGCAAAAATATTTATTCTTCGCGAGAAACTAAACAATCCTGTTTGTTGAGTCAAACATTTTATTTACTCCATTCCAACAGACAGATTTGTTCCGATCAAATGACTCGTTTCATTCGATTTGTTTCAAACAAATCTCGTCAAATCCAAAGAAATCCTTTTCTCCATGCACGATTCTTGAACCCTTCAGTTACCTCTTTGTATACTTTGTAATCGTTACAGAAGTCGTATATGTCTCACAAATACTTAGATCACATAATTCCAAATAGAAAAGAAGAATAAGGCGACCTCTCACTTGTATGATACATTTCGCAAGTATCGCCATGAGATTACATCACATTGTTAATTTTTTCTTTTTCTCTTAATTAAAACATTGCTCCGGCGGTGGGAAATTACACGATATTCCACTGTCGCGAATATCAAACGTTAAGAGGGAAAAGCGGTCGTCCGAGGAGGAGAAGGCTTCCTCTTGCCCGCAGGAGGAAATCTCGCGGACGAGACGGCGATTTCTCGTTCTCCTTCGTCCTGCTTCGAAACAAAGACGCTGTTTAATAAAAGCTCGAACGCCCGGAGGAGAGTTCTCCTATTCTCGGGCAAAGTAGATGCAGCACATTACCCGTGTCCATCACTTACCGCTATCAGCTACCGCGCGCCGCGGATCTACCCCCCTTCGTTGAATTATACCGGGTGTTTCTACCGGGCATTAAGCGAGATTGGGAGTATCGCAACATTCGATCCCGGACGAATACTTCCATCTTATCCGGGAATGCACTCGATAGCAGTAAATTCTCGAGGACATCACTCGTGTCTCTCGCGTCTCCCGCGATCGCGATCGAGCGAGTCGGCTGTTTAACATTCGATCAATTTAATTAGCCATCAAATTAACCCATCTTACCGGCGATCTCGCCATCCCGCAGTTCCATTCTTAAACTAACTTGCCGCACATCCGAAACATTAAGTTGATTAAAAGATTAAATCGTTTGCTTCTTCCTGCGCGGTCCTTACACCGGCGAAATAAAAAGAAAGTACGATAGAATCTATTTGATCGATAATGACGCAAATCCCACGTGGTATATTTCCAGGACTGCTTCGCGGTCCGGACGATATTCACGTCGAAGTTGGTGCTCCAATCGATAATAATTACGCGGCTAATCGTAGCTTGAGAAGAAAGGACCGGTTGCGACGAGCATAATTTGCGCGTCGCGACTTTTCGCCTCTTTTTAGAGAAACGAATGACACGATCTTTTACCACAATCTTTTCGAAATTATCGGAAGATTTATTCTGTGCGCTAATCGCATGCCACACGCATTTCAACCCTTTTGTACGTATGCAGATGCTAGTGACGTGAAACGTTCGTTCGCGCTGCGATACGCCGGTGAAGTTGACGGAGCTCAGTAGTCATCCATGGCGATACGTCCACTTGAGAAGTCATCTTTGATATCAAATGAGGGTGGAACGAAGAGAACAATGAAGAGCTACGAATTTAGCTTCTGTTTTGCCCCCGGCTTCAAAGGCCGCTAGGTCAGGCGCAGTCGATACCGTCGGTTCCTTCGTTCCTGGTGTCTTCTAAATTTTTTGTCCGAGGCTACACTAACGAACGTACTTCTCCGTCCGCTTAACAATGCCACTTTTAATTGCTGCCGCCTCTCAAGGTTAGATCGGGTTATATGTCATCTCGGAGCGTCTCGATTACATTCCTCTCTTCAATATTTATAATCCCCGAATCACGCGGAAGCACATGTAAAACCAAATAATTATTCAAACGTTTTTTCATCGAACGATGCATTTTCTATTAAATAACGGATATTCATTAGTCACGTCTGTTTCTGACTTGATGCGACGTCCCGCGTTGAGTAAAAAAGATCGTTTCTCATCAAAGATACGCGATCTGCGCATTTAATGTTACACGGGAAAAAATGTTTATATATAATCATATAAAATTATATATCATTATATATCATTATATATGTGTGATTTTTTATATATGGATTTCGTCCCTATATTGGCTAGGTATATAATTGTGTACAATTATATATGTCCATACGCACAAAATAAAAATATTGTTAAATGAAAAACGGACAAAATAATTTGGTTCAGTTAAATGTTTACATCGTGTGCAGTCGTAAACATTAGAACTTACTTCAGTTATATTCGTATAGCAGCATTTTTTTATAGATGCGAGACATATATAATAATTATATGTGATTACAGGACGTCCTAGGCCAATAGAGATGAACTTCGTGTGAACGTAGAACAGATTGAGATGAAAAATCTTCTACAATTTTGCAAATAACATACAAATTTTTCAGTTATTAATAAATAATCACTTTCGTGCCAAGGGACATTTTTTGCGTATTTTCTAGCGCTCGACGCTGCGTATTCGTATTTCACGAATTTTCGTGATCGTTGTTTCCTAACGTTTCCGCAGGCTCGCCTGTTGCTTCGCTCTTGCAAGAAAGCATTCTCCCTTAAAGCTCTCTCCAGGCAAATCGGCTGAAATTTTTTAATCGATCGAACCGATCGATCCATCGAGTCTTCTCCGGCAAGTCTCCGCGACGAACGAGATTACGGCTATTCGTCGGCAAACACGAAGATCCTTTCCGAGCATACTCTCAGCACGAATGAGGTTGTTCGAGTGGTGAGAACGGAGAGACGCGAGGGAAACAGTTACGACGGGGTGAAAAATGTTTTTCGCGTCGGAGCCGGCGAACTTGCAACTGGATATTCGCGAGCGCGACGAGGTCGATCGTGGTGCAACTCGATTTTGGCCGAGTGCCCATACGAATTTATGACCGTCGAAACGGTGTTGTTACGGCAAAATCACCCGGGTGATACTATCACGAAATTCGCTTTGTGAGATCGCCGGGGAGAATGTTGAAGCGCCAAATAAAAATCGTAATAACCGGAGGGGAGGGGGGAGAGGGGAATGAGCGACGTTGCACAAGTAATTGTGTTTCAAAAGAGTTCACAGTCCGCAGAATGAGAAAAAAATTAATTACGTATGTAAATGAGTATAGAAGGGAATTTCGTGTGTTAAATTTAATTCATTTAAAACTGTCCCGTTCCACCGGGTTAATTTTTGCTCAACATGGCCTCATTAACTGTCGACCGTGTTAGTGGACCGCACCGTCTATTAACTCCACCATGTAACTTCAGCTCGCATTTTGTATTTCGAAATTTTCGTTTCCGATACAAAGCCACGAGAGAATCGTTCGAAATGACCGAAAACTATTATTCAACGTCAGGGAAATCGATTTCGGTACACGAAAAAGCTGAGTATGTTTACGTTCAGTATACGATATTTTCACAAACACGTAATAATTAATTAACGTCACACTGAATCGTCGTAACAGCTCGATGAGGAGTGCCACGCGAGATGTCACGGGTTTGCAAAATCCCCGATGCGTCGGCGAGTCACAAGACACAAGAAAATCGATTTCGAGTCGTCGGAACAACAAAATAAAAAATGTTGCACGTGACGTCGCGAGCCCTTCGGGTGTGTTAACGAGCGGGACGAGATGAATCTTTACTGTTTCGCAGCATAGTTATACGAGTGCGAGAGATCGTAGGTCGGCTGTAAAATATTTAACCGTCTCACCGGAATTTTATATCGCGGCGCCTCGCGCCGTTCTCCGCTGCGAATTCCAAGCCACTCCGGGATATACGACTGTAAACTCACGAGAGTTTATGCGTGCCGTCGATAAATATTTCATCGCGTGCTATGGATCGACCAGAGGCGCGTTAGATCCACGAATGTCGGTCGGAGACTCTTCTCCGGCCTATATTTTCCTGAAGCTGTACGGTTACTCGGTTCCTCGCAACATAATACTTTCTCTCTGGAAGATCGTTTACCTCCGGTGAACGTGCAAATTTTTCAACGACTGCATACGATTCATTGTTCCTGAGACACTCCAAAACGTACCGAAATTATACGCTGAAAAGTATAGTTAAAAACAGGCTTTTTTTTATATTTTTGCAGATTTTTCCGGCTTATTTTTCAAGTAAATAAAAAAGTAGAAAAATTCATTTAGAAAAATTCAGCCAGAGAGAAAGAGAGAGAGGAGAACATTCCTCATATATAATTATATATAGAATATATATATATATTTTTACATGTATATATGGACATATTCTATATGTAAGACGCGTTATATATAATTATATAAAATTTTTTCCCGAGGTGTGTCCGGTCAAAACCCATCACATTTACTTCTTCCCGTAAAGAAGATAATTGCGTACAAATTAACTGAAGTTTAAATGAAGTTAATTATCCTCTAAGCAATAATATGTGTCTCAAAGTGAAGTTAAGTGAAATGAATATGTTATATATGCAGCGCAATATTGCTCAATATATATAACATACTTCACGTAACTTGATTTAACTTCAGTTAAGCGCACGCAATTATCTTCTTTACGGGAAGGGGCAAAAATATGGCGGGTTTCAACCGGACGCGCGTGAATGTTCCTAAACGACCATTTCCCTCGAAGGAAAGAGGAAAGAGAAAAATCCACGGGAAGAACTGAAAAAAATCCAACTTTTTCCGAATCTTCCGAACGCTGCGCACCGAACGATGTATAAACCTGGATCGTTAATATCACTAAAATTACATTATACTCCATAAAAAACTCCCCGCTTCCGGAAACGGCGCCGCCGTCGTCGTCTCCTCTTGCTAACGAGTTAACTAATTAATTTAACCGCGGTGATACGTCAGGCCCGATTTGAACCCGCCGGCCGAGAATCATGTGTCTCGGATATTCGAAACAATGCCCAATAACATCGTATTCATTCGGCCGCTCATTCAGCGACCCCCTCTTATTTATCTAACGCGAAAGTAGCGCTCGATGTTATCGCGGTCGCTGCATTTAGCGCTAAATGCGGCCCGAGAATACGCAGGAGCAAACGTTCACCCTAGAGTGGCCTAAGCTCTCCCTCTCTCTCTCCTCGGTCTTCCTCCCTCTCTCCCGCCGTCACCCGGTCGCGAGAGCCACCCCCCGCCCTCGCGGACGGGCAGGCGCGCGACGTCCGCCACGCAGGGATCAATAGGGGTTGGCTGGATCGCGCGACGACCGCGTCGAGGCAAGCGCGGCGGCCGTGGTGCGACGACGTCGTCGTCGACCGACGTCAGCGACATCTTCGCACCCCCGTTTTTCCTGGGGGTAGACCAGCAGCTCTCCACCAGGCCGTCACGGCCGCCCTCGGGACCGATCCCTGCCCTGTGCGCGCCCTGCTACCTGCCCGCTCGGCCCCGTGACGACGCGGTGGCGATGGCCGACAGCGAATTCGAGGAGTTCCGCCACTACTTCGAGCGGCTGCCCCAGCACCTGAAGGCGCCGCTCTCCAACTACACGTGAGTACCGAGCCGAGCCTGCGACGGGTCGCACACCGTCCGAACAGGTGACCCGACGATGGCGCGACGTTGACATCCGCTGGGCGACGAGGGAGCAACCGTGAATTCGAAGAAACGGACGGGCCGCTGAATTATCGGAGATCGGGCTCGAGGGGGCAATTCCTCGGAGACTCGGATAACGTATCGCGCCCTCGTACATCGCGAAGTGGACTTGCCGGAACGTGCGGGGCGGTGATGTAGGCTGGCTGATAACGCCGAGACCGAGAGAGCCGCGAGGAGAGTAATCGTTAGCAACACGTCATCGTCCCGGATTATTTTCCGCGGATGTTAGCAGGCGTCAAGGTGGATCCGGGCCGAGCACGGACGAACCGTCAGGGTCCGAGAGATGAGTGCGGACGGCGCACGAACGGTTCTTCATAGCTGAACTGGCTGCGCTAGGTGGAGAAATTCACGCACACCGATGCGTGAGAATCCCGTACGCTTCGATGTGTATGTAAATTTCTTGAACAAGTGCGGCCAGTCCAGCTGAAAAGGGCAGACCAACTGTTAACTGTATATATGTCGCCGAAGTTGGAGATACATGTTGAAATGAAAATCCTATAGTTGCGTCTCCTTTGGGCGCTCACGCGCTAAGCAAGTGTCATTCCGCCTTCCTTTGGAGCGCAACTCCCGGTCTACAATAGTAATACTATTTTAAGCCTCAGGCCTTCAGAAATTGACCAATCGTAGTTAATTATTCTCTTCACCTTTGACTGTGATTGGGTCATTTTTTTCTTAAGGCTCAAAGCTTAAAGCATTTATCGGAGACCAGGATTAATGAACGATGAAGATAGAATGATTCTTCGTGCCCGGAGAGAACGTAGCCTACGTAATTACGAGGGACATTTGCGAGATGCGCTTCGAAATTTGGGAGTACTTTGCAATAGCATCTCCAAATTCGAGATACGCGCCTCGAAATCGCCCTAATCACGTAAGGTTTTCATTTCAATGCGTACCTCCAACCTTTGACGATGCACGGTTGACGGTGTACCAGGAACGAACATCGGCGAATCGTGTTCGATCCGATGCCGATACATCCAAGGAAACGTGTGTTTGCGTTCTATGCTCATTTTTCGGACTCGTTCGTCAATATTCCGTTCGTGCTCGTTCGCTCGGTCCGGATTCACCTTCAGAAGACGTCCCGACGAAGCCCACCGCACGAAACACCCACGAGGTGTCCCGAGGGGATATCGCTCGACGGACGGATGGAAATGATGCACGATGTCATTTATCCGAACGTCATATTTATACGTTGCGATGATCAGAGAGCACAGTCCGCGATGAGAGCGGATGATGATGATCCGAACGACCGGGCCCCGCGAAGTAAGTAACGCCATTCGCAACAACCGCGTCTCGGCGAATACATTTTGTCAGGAATCGCCCGTGACGTCATCGATCGTCGGCGGTCCCTACATCGGTATCGATACTCTTTAACAGCGAAGACATCGCGTTTTCCAAAGATCCGTAAAACTGAGAATGCACACCGAGAAAAAGGTTTCTTTAGATTTAGTCTTATTTCGATTTATTTGATTAAAATTTGCTTCGTAGAAACAACATATATCTGTACGAAATATTATGTGTTTGGAGAAACATTTCATCGTCTTCAAAAGAACTCGATTATTTAACAGAAAGAACGGTATTATTTGAAATAATATCCTTCAAGTTGGTTACAAGAAATATGTAAAATGAAACGAATAATTTCTCTGTATGAAAATTATCTTTCATTTCGGACAAATCTTTTATTTAAGACAGAGATACATATTCGCTGAAAGGTCTAACAATCGTGCTTATCGATCGAAACATTGCTTTCTTCGAAGCGTGCCTATGATGAAATTGGTTGGGACGCGATGAAATTGATTAAACTCGAAGAAATCTCGATCTCGGCGTACAAAAGATGTAGAGCAAGCTCCGTAAAGCGGATAGAAAGCTATCCGCTAGGTCCGTCCGGAAAAGTGTTGATTTCCAAATTCTCATAATAATCGAAATTTAGACACGTCAAAGTTGCACACGCGAGCAACGTCGTCTGACGTCGGCCGACCGTTCGCCACCCCCCGCCTTGTCTCCGACACAACGGGGATGACAAATCGTCGCGTTATTATTGGGCGATATTGCAAAAAGGAGACGCACCTTCGGCGAGAATACGCGACGGCATTTGTGTCACGGCTGGAGGGAGCGGCGGAACGCGAGTTAAACGTCCGATTGGCCGGCGCATCGGTCGATGCATCGGCATCGACTAAAAGTCACGAGGAGGAATCGCTGTGTGGCATCGGCACATCGTGCCTTGAAAATTATTGATCCCGGAGTACAAGTGATACACCGGGAATACACGAGCGACGCGAAACTGCGAGCGCGCGTACAGAGACGGGGGGCCGCGCACGATTTCGGAGCTTTCGTTGACACGCGTGCACGCGTACGACGCGTATTCCGCTACTTCTGTTGCCGCAAACAACCGACCGATGATCCTGTTTGCACGCGAGGGGACTACCGCTTGTTACGCGGTGTATTACGACCGGGGCGTGATATAATTGCGTAACTGTGGATTTAGCGATCCCTTTCATAACGCGGGACGGTAATGTTTGCACGATGCATCCCGCGATTCGCGGTCACTGATCGCATTAAGCTGAGCTAATAAAGACACCTCAGCGAAACTAGTCGGCTCGTACGTCGTTATGTTTCTCTCTGATCTCCTCTGACTTGCTGTCTAATTTCCGGTTAATTTCGAGATATAAATATCGGGGGTATAATTATAATTGATGACCGGGGAGAGCGCGATGTGTGAAATTTTTCAGGCGAGATTCGTTCTTCTCGTCGAATCGTCTCTGCATGTGTGCCACTGACTGCAACTGTGCTCTCGCGGAAGTAAGAAAGATCAATAACGCGGCAGTTCGATACGCCCGACTATTTTCGGATTAATTTTCGGTCCGACTGGCTTTATTTCGAGACGTTGCGACGCGAAGGTTGCCAGACCGAAGCTGTACTTCCGTCTTCTCGACTGGGACACTTGCATTTTTACCCAAAGTTTCACCAAAGTTGCATATAAGCAGTACAAATTTTCTATCAAAGACGGTCTTCTGAGATTTTTCCGTTTACTTTAACACAGTGACTATGTTGAAAAGTATGTTAACAAAGTGAATAGGTTAATTCAACATGCATTTGTGTACTTTTTAACATATTCCTCGTGTTAAAATAACACAATTCTAGTGGACCGTTTTCGGCACAAGATTTCTTCCCCGTGCAAATCTTACTTTTGCGACTCTGAATTTTCAGTAGAATTTGTGTCACGAATCTATGTCGGGCGTAACAAGAAAATGATAAGCTTCAAGTTTATAAATGGTAAAATTTTGAGCGTACTGACCCACTTTGAAATTACGTAATCAAATATCACAGAAAATGTGGAATATTTTGTCATTAAGTGACAATTAATATTTAATGAGGTATCGACTAATGTTGAATGCAGGATAGTAATTTATTCGCTATTCTCTTGCCCCGAAGATGCGAAATACTGTTATGAGAGGATATACTATAATGTAACCTTCTTTCACATATAAATAGTTGTAGTACTTCTCGAAATACTAAAAGAATATGCAAAGAGTGATATCGTCGGGAGAAAGTCAGATCGATTCGAAGTATGCTTGTCAAGTGTAGCGCAATATTTCCTCTCATCCTTCATTGAAGACCGTTCGGAAGAGTGGGTGCATTTTTAACGAGACTCAACGAGCTTTAACGCCCCTGAAGTATTTTTTCTGTCACGCTGCACCGAAAGATAGATGAACGAATCGTACAGGTGTTATTTTCAATTCCCATCGTGTTTCATTAATTAACGCGGATGTTACACACTTAATGTTCATTTGCACTTTCGTACGCTTGCATTCTCGATTTAGCGATTTACGGTAAAATTCGTACGTAACGAGGCGAGGATAAAATGATACGAAACAAAACAAATTGAGGAAAGTGATGACAAGTGCATCGCGTGATTCCGCAATACGCTTCATCGATTTCTCGCTACATACTATTGTTTGATTTTATATCTCGTTATGTCTATGAATTATTTTATGAAAATTTAGAGAGAGAAGCGTATACGCGCGCGCGCGCGCGTGTGTGTGTGTGTATGTATGTGTGTGTGTGTGTGTAGAAAAAAGTGCTAGATTCAAATAAATAATTACTCCAATATTTCTTTGTGAATGTTTTCTTGGATCCCAAGTAATACTTACTTCATCCAAATAAAATATTTTCCAAGTAAATTATCCAAGTAAGATATATATTTATTTGATCCAAGTAAAATTTCTTTAATCCAAGTAGAAATTTGCTAAGGTGTATTGAAGTAATTATTTATTACTTATTGAATCTAGCACTTTTTTTCTGTGTAGTTACAATAATCGTAAGCGGTTATAATAGGCATAAAACTTTCATGTGTATTTACGGATTTGGATATTAGGCTCGTACACGATGTGATGATCGATGATTCGCCGACATCCTCGCAAGGGAGCGACGGGGAAGTCGGCAGATCCTGCGACGGTGTAACCGGAGACTCCGAGGATGAGGAAGTGGTCGTTATCCATCGGCACGACAACCAAAGCGGTCACACCACTCCTGATGACAGCGAAGAGCTGGACAACCATTGCTCGATTATTGCTGACAGTGACTTCAGGTTGGTAACATCGTAAGTGTTTACTTACTTATTACCTTTCATTACGTCCCTGTATAATTAATTCCTCGTTGTATTTTTTCGAGCAGTTCTTAATAAACTCTTCAAACCCTGCCCGGTCAAAATTGATTGATCTTTCTCGCTCTTTCTCTTTCTCAATACTTGCAATAAAATTATCGAATATTGTATCTTTTCCGGAGGTGCAAAAATTCGGGAGAAAGGAAGTAGAAAAAAGGGTGTATAGATATTTGCGGATGGTGCGTCCCGTGTAAAAAATCTCGCGAAATATCGCGGAAAGTATCTTCAGATGGTACTTCTTTTTTCGTAAAGGAGCAAAAGGTCGCGAGTACACTGGGAAAAAAATGGTAGAAATGAGAAATTCGGCTTAAACGAACCAAATTTTTTTGAACGTTTAGTCCACGGAACAAATTATACAGTTCTCATGATGAATTATCAATTGATTCAACGATCACCGTTTGGTCAGCGGCTGTATCAACGTAACGTATTGTTGCTCCAGCGCGTACTCTGTTTAGTGGACAAAAGTATTGTTTCGAATGAAGATGTCCGAATCGAAATTTTCACGCTAGTCCGGCGCTCTTAAGAATTGCGTCTTAAACCGTAAAACTTTCTACGATACGGACACTTTGTCTAACCGTTGTCCTCCTCAGCGTAGACGAGAATGAAATGGAAACTGTTGCGCGAGGCGAATCTCTTCCGGCGAAATATTACACGGCCAATTAAAATCACGACCGTCGTAATTTATCCCACGCTCCTCGCGCCTCACCTTCCCGCCGGAGACGCGGCAGTATTTTAATCCACGTTGCATCCACGGCGTCACTCGCGGCAGGTATCACCCGCGTTAACACGCCGCCCCACGATCTCATCGCTCGCTCTGTGACCTTGTTAAAAATAACTCGGGCTTCCAGAAATATATTCTCCGGGAGAGCCGCGCGACGCACGGCTCATAATTATTAATTGGCCGCCTCTGTCGTCGCGACGGGCAATGCGATGCGCGCGCGAACGTTGCGATGCTCCGGCGCTCTCCCGAACTCGGGGAGTTTCTCCCCCGTCTATTTCTGCTCCATTAACCCCGTGCGACTCGCCGCTCCAGATTACGCGTCGCGAAATTATCGCTACAATGATAATTACGCCAGCCGCGTCGATAGAAATTTGCAGTCATTCCGGTGCCAAGCGTACTCTTTAAAAGGATCCTGCAGCCGTCCTGTTTCATCGCAAATTTATCAGTGCTATACTCGTTGCTAGTAGCACAGAATTAAAAGTCCTTCTGCATAATTGCGATTACGAATCACACGTTACGTTAACGTAAACGAAGACGGTTGACTTTATTCGAGAAACGAAAAAAGTGAAGAAATCGTAAAACTTTTTCTTCGTTTTGCGAAGTAACGAGTATAGTACGGCTGACAAATTTGCGGTGAAACGGGACGACTTTGGGATCCTCTTAATCACTAAAAATAGTCGGGAGAATCGTTTTTTTAATAAGTGTTATTATAGTGTCAGTGATAACAACCTTGCATGTTTACTACTATAAAATATATTATAAAATATACTATAAAATATATTTGGCGCCAAAACTAATTTTCTATCAGTGTGTGACAATTTAAACTTCTGCACCGTGTTGATGAGGAATAGCGAGCAAAAGAGAGAGAGAGAGAGAGAGAGTTATTATTTTCCTTGAATTTTTTCCGTTTCCATTTGAAATTGAGATCCCAGGCAGCATAGTGAACGATAGTTTAGCTCAATACACGTTTTACCCTTGAATGACATTAGCTTGTTCGGTGGACTGAGCAGCAGGGGTCGATCGGTAGGCGGCGGCGGACCGGGCGGGGGCGGCATTACCGGGACGGGTAACGGCGGCCGAGACAGCGTCGTCAGCGATGTCGGCGACTCGTGTTCCAGTTTGAGCTCCTGGCCTACGCCGGAGCACGTGCCGACGAATCGACCCGGAAGCGGCGGTACCGAGCGCCGACGTCGAAGATTGCCGGAAATTCCTAAAAATAAAAAGTGTAAGGGAAGAATCCGCATGAACGAATAGTTGTCCTCGTAACGAACGTAATAAAAAGTGTAAGGGAAGAATCCGCATGAACGAATAGTTGTCCTCGTAACGAACGTAATAACGCACATTAACGCTCAATGCTTCGTCGGTCTCGTATCTCCTTGAGTTATTGTAAATTGCTGAAGAGACGGATAAGAGCGAGACTCTGCACGAACGAATAACTCGTTTTGCGACGGTGATAATAACGATGTCCGTTAGAACGAGATTTCTCTTCAGCTTTGTATCATTGAATTATTGTAGATCGTCGGAATCCACGAAATAAGGAATAGAATTATGTATGAAAAACGGTCTGATGATTAGATTTGAATAATAGAAATTAATCGGTCGAGAGAGCGAGATTCCACTGATTCTGTATATCGTAGAATTCTTTAATATATCTGAGAGAAATAGTTGGCAGCGTCATTTTCATAGTTGTGTACGTGTGTGACTAGAATCAAATAAAACACCGAGGCAATACTTAGTGATTTAATTTGCGAATAACACAATATTTATGTATGCATCGTAAAATTACACATATCGTATTTCCGTGCTTTATCGCGTTGAAAAGTTACTTTTACCATAGCACAATGAAATGAAAAGAAATAAAATAAGTAAAATAATAAATAAATAAAATAAAACCGAGCATCGTGCGATCTCAAGTATAGCAATCTTCGCATTATGCTATGCAGCATTCGACAGACATCAACTGTATCACTTTTGTTCATCACCTTTTTGCGTCACACGTGCGTCATACGTATTGTAATGAAATCGAGAAACCGGCCATGCTGTTGACCACAGTGAAATAAAATCCAGATGTCCACTTGCACCACATCGGTTGTATAAGAAGCGTAGATCGTAATGCGGTGCTTTCCATTCACGGTCACGATGAACCTACTATTTCGCAGATTAGAACGAATTTATCCAAATAGGATCGCACAAAAGGTCAACTGCTTAAATTCGAATGAAGCTTATATCTCGTATGCACGGAGAGAATATTGTAGTAAAAATTACAAGAAAATTTTGTAATGTTGGAATTATTATCGAAATTACTGTATGTGTTGTAATCTTTAGTGATGCGTATCGTGTGTGTGTGTGTGTACACATCACTAAATATTACAACACACAATAATTTCGATAATAATTCCGATAATATATTCCAGAATTATAAATTTGTGATAATTTTCACTATAAATATTTTCGTGTGTAGTGTGATGAAAAAGCGTGCATGGAGATGGAATGTCTTCTCAATAATAATAAAATTCCTCGTGATAATAATAAAATTATCGGAATAAAAAGGGGGCATATATATGTATGAACTTTTTCAAGCGTGAAATACGCGCGCTCATTAAAGTCTCCCGATGTCGTTTCAGCTCTGCCAATGTGTCAGACGTCCATGCAGACGTCGTCTTCGTTGGCAGATGAGTTGAGTGCCGCCACCGGCTCGTCTTCGGCTCGGCCTCACCTTGTCCTGAGGAAATGCCACACCAGACTTCGGCATGAGGACAGCTCGCCCGACAGCGAGAGAATGGCCACTGACAGTGGTCATTCCACCGCTCACTCCCCCGAAAACGGCCCCAAGAGCGTGTCGCCCATACCTTGCAACACCCTGCAGAATACGGATTCGGTATCGCCCAGCAGCACGCCAGGTAATTACGGTCCTCTTCGGTGCTGCCTCTCTTCGATTTGTTAAACTGGCGCAAAAGATCAATCGTTTCTCCTTATTTTGCAACATCACACGATACATAACAAATTACATTTCAAATCCCATCAACGTGGAATTCCTATTTGTGGAGTTGAGTGTGCAAGCGAAAATACTTGATTATTCATTTGCTCATTTGAAGTTGTTTTTCCTGACATGCTCTTTAATCTTTAACACGAGACACTTCAGCGATCCGGATCTTAATTTTAGCAGGAGAAAAGAAAATCACCTGAAAGTATACGCAAGAAAATATTTTCGCACGGGATGAAACTTCCCTGACGCGCTATCGGGCGCTCCACGACGCGTCTCTACGTTCCGTTGGAATTTTCCGCGAAGCTTCTCAATAGTCATTTTATCGTCTTAGTTCGGAAAAGTTCTGAAAGCCGGGGCTGTCGCCCGTGTCATAAATTGTTTTCGAACGCCGATCGGAGAATGGCGATCAATAGCAGTACGCTTTTTTCATTTCGAAGGAAGCGGAGGCGTGCCGTTTACCCAACTGGAACTGCTCGAGGCGACGCATCGGGGCTTGCACAAGTTTATACCGCGGCACCATGACGAAATTGATCTTGAAATTGGAGACCCTATATACGTGCAGAAGGAGGCCGACGACCTATGGTGCGAAGGTTCGTAAGGATATCAGTTTCGTGTCCTTCAACGTATCGGACTCAAACCAACTTGCTGTTGTTTCTCCCTTCATTTATCCAAATGAAATGAAGTCGACGCATTGATCATTCTAACGCGAACAATACATTACATTCGATAAATAATTGGCACACGTTGAGTAAAGAGTACATAAAGAAAAAGCTTTCTTTAGATTTAGTATTTCTATTTATTTGATTAAAATTTGCTTCATAGAAACAATATGTACGAAATATTATTTGTTTGAGTAAAAATTGTATCACCTCATTCAAGAAAATTCTCATTATTTAACAGAAAGGACGCTATTATTTGAAATAATATCTTTTAATCGAATAAAATACTATTCGATTGCAATAAATATGTGAGACAAATCATTTCTTTATGAGAAAATTATCTTTCGTTTCAAACGAATTTTTTATTTAAGATAAAAATATCCGTTGGAAAGTTTAACGATCGTACTTATTGATCATTGACATTAGTTTCTCTGGAGCGTGTCAATGATGAAATTTTTGTTTGGATGCAATAGAATTTATTAAATTTGAAGAAATCTTTTTCTCACTATTGACATGAAAAATTGGTGAGAGATGAGAGAAATCGGAAGGAAGTGAAAGAAGCGGAGATATTAACGCTCTTAAGCTCGATACCAGCTAACTCTTCTTGTTCTTCGCGGATCAGGTGTCAATCTGAGGACAGGCCGACAAGGTATCTTCCCGTCTGCGTACGCGGTCGATATGGACTACAGCGACTTCGATCCTTCTGCGCCTAAGGTGAAGAGGGAAAGATACCTTCTGGGTTACTTGGGCTCGGTGGAGACTCTGGTGTACAAGGGTACAGGGGTGGTTTGCCAAGCGGTACGGAGGATTCTTCGCAACTCTACGCAGGATCCGCCGGTGTCGCAGAGCTGCATCCTGGAAGTGTCCGATCAGGGCCTTCGGATGGTCGACAGGAGTAAGCCGCGGGTAAGTGACTGCGATCGATTCGGACGCAAGTCTCGGTGCGCGCGGAGAAACATACCGCAATATCGGCTGCAATGTATTTCAAGTATTTCACCTCTTATTTATTAGACTTGTGCGTATACACAGAGAAATAGATTTCTTTGGATTGGATAAAATTTCTCTAATCGAAACAAATTTGTCTTTTGGAGTGGAGCAAACTGTGCTGAAGGTTTGGTTCGACCCAGGATCGTTTGGTTTCTCAAACAATAAATATCTTTACGTCATATAACAAATTTCTTTTATATTTTCATCCAAACATTACAATGGTTATCAGAAGCAATAAATCGTTTCAAAGAAATAACACTATGTTAGAGAGATGTTAAAGAACTATTTATTTCGATGTAACAATAATTTAATATATAATGAAATAAATTTTTCTAATTAAAAACCAAATATTATTTCCTCTAAATAATGTTTTTCTAATCAAACAGCATGGTTTATTCTAGTGAAATAACAATATTTTCATTCAAGCAAAATTATATTTGATATTAAAGTAAGCTGTTTATACCAAACAAGCCCAACAACCCATTAAAACAAAAACGTAATACTAAACACAAAGAAATCTTTTTCTCGGTGTACAATTAGTTGTAATTATAGATGTTCGTTACACGTTGATGCGTGACGTATTGAACGCGAAACGATAGGCAGAGAGAGAGAGAGAGAGAGAGAGAGAGAGAGAGAGAGAAACGGAAAGTTACCTTCCATCGACGCGTTTTTACAGAAAAATCAGGGTCCTTGTCACGACTATTTCTACTCGCTGAAAAATGTGTCGTTCTGCGCGTTTCACCCTCACGATCATCGCTACCTCGGCTTCATCACGAAGCACCCCACTCTGCAGAGATTCGCTTGCCACGTGTTCATCGGTCAGGAATCCACGAGACCTGTCGCCGAAGCCGTCGGGTGAGCACGAAAATACACAAAGATTTAATGAAAATATACAAAGCGACGCGCACGAACGTACACATCGTTTCTTCTCCTTTTCTTTTTCAACGGATCTTTTACCAGAGAGTCCAATTAAAAATCCGTCGTGTCACGCAATCTTGTCAATTTTAACACTTTGTTATCTCATGAATTATCTTTTATTATTTATATATTATTGAGATATCATTATTATTTATGGGTCTTTTGTAATTAAATATATTTCTGCGATATTCTATAAATGTGTCACGCAAAACTTACTCTCCGTGAGAAGTTGTTGCATCGTAGATCACGAGCAATAATTCGAGTTTCTCTTCTTCCAGGCGCGCTTTTCATCGGTTCTACACGAAATTCATCGAGACTGCTTTCCCAATAGAGGACATCTATATTGAATAAATTGCTCTCGGCCTTACCGTATAGTGGCTGCGGAGAAAATGATAAATCTCACTTCCCCACCTTTCCCTGTCCCTTGTACATATTACCCGCTAGTTGTAGATATAAAATAATAAACGCGAATCAAACCACCCTCCCCCTCTCCCCCCCCCCAATTTATACATATATTGAACATATGTATATCTATGTGTACTGGGCATCTTCGGGATAAGCGTCACGACGGGACCGATTCTCTTCGTTAACATTCCGTTCTTTCGTAACTTTCCTTCCGTTCATCGCTCATCGCCAATTTTGTCCCGGCTCATGCGTGCAATCCAGTACGATTATATAACGATTCCGTGTATTTATCGAGGCAAAATGAGAGGAAACAAAGTTTCGATAATCACGTCTATCGACAAAATCGCTTTGATTCCTCATCACGAATGCTACGCATCGACCGAAGCTAATTTTCATAATGAATTCAAATCTATTTTGGCTTCTTTTGCGTCACGTATGGTTTCGAAGTTCCTTTAACGTCGGATAGAACGTAACAGTCGTGCACGAAGAGTTCGTTAAAGGCCCTTAATAAGCAGATTTAATAATCGATAGCGAGAACGAGTTAATTCCTAAAACCCCGATCCTACGACCAAGGTAATCCGCTTAGTGACGTATAGGAAAAAAAATGGAGCGACAATAGCGTTGGGTCATCGGAGTTTAGCGAAAAAAAATTAATAGAAGAAGTCGGATAATCTTCTTTTTTTCTTCAAACGACGCTTAACTTTCAGCCGTTGCGCAAGTTTGAGATTTCTCTAATCTAGAAACGGCAAAAGTGCTTCATCTGACCACGTGTAAATATAGGCGTAACGTTTGACCGTAATGTGTAAAATTCACTCGTTTATTTGATGTCGGTCGGGAGCCTTGCCTGAATATTTTCAGGAATGTAAATGTCAATTTACAAGACAGAATTATCATTTAAAGCAATATTATTATAGCAATAGTCAATTTACAAAACAGAATTATAATTTAAAGCAATATTCACGCTAAAAGATAACATAAGTTGATCATCAATTAGAGATAATATCAATTCCTGTTAATTGCTATTTTTAATTTATATACTTAGAGTAACTGAGTTCTGTATTTTGTTCCCGTATCGAAGAAAGTAACTCGTTTTCGCTCTTAATTTTGAAAAGAGAGAGAGAAGGAGAGAGGGAGAGAGAGATCCATTACATAAAAAGTACCAATTCAGATTCGAATACTAAGTAATCTTGAAACGGAAGATACCTGAATTTGTGTAACGAGATACCTTTGTTCTCTTAACTCGGGAAAATTTCACACGCTGCGCGACGCGTCGTCGAGAGAGAGAGAGAGAGAGAGATGTAATTTCACGCGATCGGACGTACTTTTGCTGGCGGCAGTCTTCTTCTTCTTCATCGTAGCAACGAACGGTCGTCTAGAATGATGTCCAATTGTATTGTTCTCGTATTGTTAGGCCTGCGCGTCGCCTTTAGAAAACATCGTATATTTTTCTATCTTTCTTTGCGACAGAGTCACCGATTATAAGTTCCGTTGTGCATATAACGATAAGGCTTAAAAGTTTGTACTCTCGAATCCCCTACCCCGAGCGAGCCCGCGAAAGACGACACTATCGAAACGCACATTGGCCTCTGCATTCAGAATATCGTATATCGCGCTGTGCGTTGTTACAACGTTGTCTCACCGAACGCTTATACAATATGAACCAAATTGCAAGTACTTCGCTGTACGAAGATGCGAGATGTTAACTCTGGGATGCACAGTGGGGATGCAGACTTTCTCCCCGAGACGCCGCGCGATATTCTCGAATTATTTCCATCTCTGTGTACAGAGAAAAAGGTTCCTTCGGATTTGGACGTGTTTGTCTGATTTCGGTTTGTTCAATATGAACAATATAATTTAATATAAAATATATTATTATTTTATTATTTCGTTTGAATAAAAATGTTGCGGTTCCATTCGAGCAAACCGTGTTGTTTGATAGGAAAACAAAAATATTATTTAAGTAAAATAATCTGGTTTGCATTACATTTGGTTTTTGATAAAAAAATTTATTTCATTACATATTGAATATCGTTCCAATGAAACCAAAAGAAGTTCTTTAATATTTTTCTGACATAGCGTTACTTCGTTCAATTAATTTATCACCAATGACAACCACTGTAATGTTTGGATGAAAATATAAAAGAAATGTGTTATTTGACGTAAAGATATTTATTGCTTGAGAAACCAAATAATCCTGTTGGATTAAACATTCGTTTGTCTGCTCCACTCAGAAAGACAAATTTGCCTCAATTAGAGAAATTTCATTAAGTCCAAAGAAATCTTTTCACCTGTGCACAATTTTCGAGTGAGTCTTCTTGGAAATTTCTCTCTAACTCCGTTGACAATTAAATCGAAATTATTCTTCCGCTGAGTCTTCGCGATCCATCGCTGGAAGACCGTGCATTCCAGGACTATTGGAAAAAAAACTGGAGTTATATCGAATATGTATATGGAAATGCGTGCACTGAGAAACCCATTTAGTTGAATCAATTAAATTTTTGTTTGATTGTGGGTAAACAAATTTTCTGGTTATAATAACGAAAATTTGGCTGTCTAAACCGAAGGTTCGATTCTCAGAGGTTTCAAAGGACCAGACCTTTGGTTCAGAGAATTCAACCTAGGTTCTTGTAACCAAAAAATGTGCCCACATCCAAACAAGAATTCAGTCGATCCAACTAAATGAGATTCTCAGTGTGTTGAAAACAGTGCCGCTCGCGATGCGCACGTTATTACTGTCAATCGGAACTTCCATCACCATCCTGCGGAGATGCGACTGTCTTTATTCAGTTCACTCTTTTATACTGCCTTTATCGGAACATATCGGGTGTGTAAAGCGCGCGTGTACAGTCGCTCTGAAATCGGACGAATTGCATCCCTGCGTTCTTGAATCTCTGATATCGAGTTTCGTCGACGAATTGTCTCGATCGAAGCACGGTTTACAAGTCATCGTGTCTGACCCGACGCGCGATTACGTGAATTACTTAACGAGGCGTGCACGAAGCAAAGGACGAAACACGGGCGACGTTGGAAATAATTCTTCATTCGTGAATATCTGATTATCGGAGGGATGGGCCGGTGGATTTGTGTGCGATATCGCGGCCTTAACATCGTTGTGACGGCGCTTCGATATTAGAGGTCCGAAAGCATGGGACGGGACGCGGTGAAATCTCGACGATTTCGTGTCGCGAACGCGTAAATCTCGTCAATTTGCTGATTCCTCCCCCGACAATACCGTTTCCGTGCGCGCGTCTTACTTGGGATTTGGTGGATGTACGATTCTCTCGCGCGTGTCTCAATTATACGGTATATTGAATAAAAAATTGAGAGAGACAAATTATGCAGTGTCGGTGATTACTCATTTTCAAAGGGGCACTCTTTCACATCTCACGACTCGCGGACGCATTTTACACGTGCCTTCGACCGGGATCGCCTCGAAACGCCGTGCCTTTCCGATTATTTTTCTCATGTTGGCTAACACGATGTCATCTTTCACGCACCGCGCGTAAGCCCGCGTTATATTTCGACGAGACACGATCATCCCTCTCGAACTTCTTCACGAGACACATCACCGAGTAGAATAAAAGGGTGCGTGATGCAAAGGAGGTTTCTTTTCACTCGATTTGCCACCTCCTCGCCCACGTAACGCTCTCAAGTCAAATCCGATAATGATTACCCGAAAGGAAGAAGGAAAACAATGTTTACTTATATTTCACGTATATTGACCGACGAATCCTCCGAATTTCTCGCGTCGCAAAGAGGAATCCGAATCGACGAATTGTAATCCGACTGTAATCCGATGTGACGAGGCTTCCTCGACCTTCTACGTCTCTATGTAAACCGATCGGTTCTGCAGTTGCTTTTCGAGAATACGTTACTTGAAACAAATAAAACAAATAAACAACAACAACCGATGTTAGTGTCTTGGCATAGTGTCTGGTCAGACAGATTGTAAGCGAAGGCAAAGGGTAAAAAATAAAGAGGGTTCAAACGTAATGCGAATAAATCACGATCGATACCCCTCCACGATATTCGTGGGATATGCGCATACACATATACGTATGTATGTACGATACGATATTACATATATTTCTTCCAGGCAGTATTATTTACAAAAATGTTCCATCTCCTACGAAATCTTGATAATTCAGTCTTGACACAATAATTATACGTGTACATGATCCCCAAACATTATATTTTTTATTATTAGTTACATTAAAAATTTAGCTTCTCGTCTTCTGTTTTTTTTCTTCCTTTCTTCCTTGTATCTTCCTACGTATCTTTTTGTCGGTTTTAATAACAGTAGTAAGAAAGAGCGAATGTGTGCGGTTCTATGTTGAGCCTTTTTGCACGATGCGCAGCTGACAACTGGTTCCGGTTCGGTGCAACGTCGGTTCTGGCTGAATATCGGTTTTACAATTTGTCGTTTCTGCGGACTCCGAGCTGAGTTAAAATTTGCATTGCTCTCACCGGGTTTCGGAATTGCTGAACGAAGCATTCGTTGGAATTCTCGCGAGGATTCGCACGTGCGAGCGAATGTGGCTTCTTTTTTCTTTTTTTTACGTTTTATCTCCTCCCCGAGTTTTCTCACGCAATTCTCCGAATTATCGAGAATTCAGGCACTAAATTAAAAACGTCCGCGACTCGTCCCGAGCAAACTCGGTCGTAAACATTTTTATAAATCTCTGCGCGACTTCTCATCGATCATATTCCGCAATGGATGTTTGTGTGCCGTCCGTCTATGTGGGATCACGCGAAGTGTATTACGATTGCTATCTTACAGCTTCGTGGCAGGAATCGTCGACCTCCGGTGTCCAAAATCGAAAGAAGAAACTGAAGTACGTACTCGTAGCCGTCGGTCTCTTTAAATACGCACGTGTATCGTTACGCCCTTACGAGAAGCATCGACAATTGACGAAACATTAAGTGAGTGCCTTCCTTTACGCCGTTTTGCCTTCGATCCACCATCTGAACCGTCGGTTCTCCATATATTGAGATATTCTCCGTGCTGTCGCCTTGTATTACGACGTGAAATCAATGATGCCGAGTCTCGCGCGCAATCACGATTGTATCGCTGCGAACTCGATGTGACGGTATCATCGTTATCGTTAAACTCGCATATCCTTTCGTGCCGCATACAGAAACACAGAAAACGAGATCTACGGGATCGGCGAAGAACTTGTAAGCAACCGTAAACCGGCGATTCGGTGGTGGATTTCCGCCATAGCGTGCCATGAAACGCGCAGAAACGCGAATTACATTCGACGTTCCCTTCTTTGTTTTTTTTTTCAACAGCTTTATCGGCATTTACATAGCTCTTAAAGGGATAGCGAAGAGACACCGAGATATTATACGTTAGAAAAATTGCTCTACAAGCGCTTTCGCTCGTACAATTATCGGCCGGTTTGTGTTACGATCATTTCGTTTCGGTAATTCGAATCAACGGGAATACAACGCGCGAGCAATTTCCTTTCTTCTTCTCCCTCGTTCCGCGCGGAGGTAAGTGTAAAATATTTCCTCTTTCACCCGACCATTTTACATAAAACAATTNCTCTCTTTCTCTTGTCAGTATTCGCAGCACTCAGTACAAATAATTAACACATCCCGTATCCCCTGCCCCGATACGCTTTCACGAGGTTCGTCGCTAAATTAATACAAAACAAAGGAGGTAGAAAAGCACATTTGACTCTCTCGATGCGACCGTGTATAACAACAATGTGAAAAAACGTTGCGACGGAAGACGACGCGTCCTTCGTCAACTATGTTTCGAACTCTTGCGTTTCTCTTTTCTTTTCTTTTTTTTTTTTCGAGAAAGAAAACAATAATAAGTCGAATTGTACAATTTGGTCTTTTACGAAGATCCAAACGGCACCGACGCGTGCCATTCTGCACTTAACATGTATATATTTATATATTTATATGTATATATATATGTATGTATAGGCGTATAAGAAGAATGTGTATACACAACCACGCTCAAAATGCCTTCGCTTTCCGTCCCTCGTAGAAAGAAATCGAGAAGCCACTTTTATGCGCGTGCAATTAGCAGAGTATAAAATATAATAAACGTAGTAGTGTTTTCACAGTGGTACAAAGTTAAACCTTATCTTATCGTAATGTAGGGCCGTCTGTCTGTGTTGCATGTGGTGTGTGTCCGCTCACTTTCAACGTTCGCATAAATGTCGAGCAACCGTCCGTTGCGTGCTGCCGCGCTTAGTCACCTTAAAGTTAAGAGAATTCAGAGCAGAGGGTTTTTCCGGGTTTGTTGGTCTTTTTTTCTCTCTTTTTTCCCCTGTTTTTTCCTCTCCGATGTTTTTCTCCCTCACGAGAGTACTTTCCAGAGAGTGTTATGCGACTGATCGCAGATCATCAGGGCGTTGAACTTCCGCGTTTCGAGGTGACTCAAGATACCTCTGTTCCGTTTCGGAAACAACGACTGAATCGACTTAAACGACACGCTATAATGCACAGTGTGCCGGAGAAGAGATTTTGCTGACGCTTGGCTGCCTATTTCGAATGTAAGTGTCGACGACACACGACGATAACGCAAAAAATGACATCAGAACGCAACGTAAACACGATTACACGGTAATTAATTAATCACGAAATTCGACTTCTCGAACGATATCCCTTCTTTCTTTTTTCTCTCGCTTTGACGCAGGCCCTTCCCTTTTCGACCAACTTTTCTCGAACACGACGTGGTTCCGTTCAAGACCGACAACCAAGCCGAATACGTACAGTACTTCCAATGAATCACGAAAACACACAAATGTCAGTCACCACCGGTGATGACCGACGACAGAATGGAGGGATAGCTCGAGAGAGAGAAAGAGAGAGAGAGAGAGAGAGAGGATGAGGTACACCGAACACAGACAGTTTAGACTTGTTCTTTGTACTATAAGACCGCGAGAGAAACCGGACATCAAGTGTACGACGCACGATGGTGGTCTGAAATTCGAAAAACGGCGCAAGAACCTCACTTTTCAGCCCTGGTAGCGCACTTCGTTAGCGTTACATTGGCCAATGAAGTGTGTTACCAGGGTGACCCCTTTATCGGAGATATTT